GCGCCATGCTGCTCTTGTCGAGCTCGCTATGAACGATGCAGTGCATGCGTCTACCAGCTACACGCCGTTCTACGTGAACGGGCTCATTCATCTTTGCGTCCCGCTGACGCCGCCATACCATGGTTCAGAGCTTGGTGAGGGAGCAATAGCCGAGCGGCTAGCTGATGTCAGCCCCCTCACTGTGCGTGCGTTGGAGAAATCCTGTCTACCAGACTGAATTTCTCACGACAGGTTCGCGACGCGATGGCTTAAAGCCAATACATGCAGAAAGAATATACAGACGGAAGAAGCAGGAGAAATGTTAAAAACTTTGAGGTCGGAGACCTGTTTTTATTAAATGCTGAAAAACTTCCTACACATGCATTTCTGATGTCTTGCAGACGAAACTTCGTCCACGGATTATTGGACATTTTAAGGTCGTGACCAAGCTGGGCCTTGCATATACATTAGACATTCCGAGTAAGATGCGCACCCACCCGGTGCTTCATGTGGGCTTGCTCAAGCCGTACCGGGATCCGGCGCAAGTAAACGTGGAAGCGTTGGCGCCGAGGCGATGCCCAAAGGCGCTCGACCACCTAGAAACTGGATAAGCAACTGGCTTTGAGTACGGAGTGCAACGATTTCTACCCCAACGACGCTAGGCTCTCCACCGTCGCACGAAGTGACGCATTCGTCTGCTCGGCGGCTAGAAGCCGCTTCGACAGAGCTCGATAGTCCTCAACGTGAGGCAGTTGGTGCACAAAGTGCTCCAAGCTCTGGAGGTCTTTCGCACAGAGGTATGCGGCCTAAACATGATGCTTAGCAAAGGACCGATGGCGATGGATCTTGTTCTCAAGAGCTCGAAGAGCATCGCGAGTTACCAGACGACGATCGACCAAATTGTCATCATCCGCCGCCGACACTTCTCGACGAGAATGGCGGCGTTCACGATCACATAGATCGTCTTGTGGGTCGACGTCGTTGACAGAGTCTAGCCCGGTATATTGTGAAGTGGTACAGATACCCCGATTCCGAGAGCTCGTGGGAGTTTAAGATGCCACTTCGGCAAGACTGCCCATACGTCGTGGACGCTCATGATCAGAGAGATCATGACGTTCCACGTTGTCGTACACCCCGCGCTTCTCGGCAGTAGCTAGGGAGGCCGAATGGCCATGAGATGTGCTCAAGCTATGGCCCTGGGCTGCTGTGGTCGCAGAATCACCCATGTTTGAAATCACAGAGCTCGCGGAAGCGTGATGGATCAATCCATAGATCGTAGAACGATTATACGAAGGAAGTCGGGGTTGCGCCTTGACTTCGAGAAACTTGAATTGAAGGTGGCGTTCTTTGCGCACGTACACCTCCTTGCCACTCCGCTGAAAGTTATACAACGAGGAAAGTTTTCGGTGACGTTGCACCAATCGCTCATAGAGCATTTCATCATCTGCAGCGGTTTTACCAGGGGTTGGTGCCACATGATCGTTCACAATGCGGGTGCAAGAGCACCTCCTCTTTGAGCCCGAAGTCAAGGGCGGTAGCAATCAATTGCGATTTTTGAGGTACCAAGAAACGAGCTCGTAAAGCTTTTCGTTTATCAAGATTAGCTTGCATAGTGGCTGAAGGCCCAACTGCGTAGACGCCCAACGATCCAGTGCTCGCGTCCTTCAATCAGTAGCGGTATCCACCGAGCGGAAGCTGTATTCCACACGAGGGACTGCGCATTATAGCCGCCCTGCGGACATCCTTTAGCCGCTGCTTCTGTGCCACATCGAGGCGATTGGTAATGATACCACTTCTCCCGAAAGTCGAGAGGTCGGAAATGGACACGGCGCCCGCAAGGTTTGAGCAGGGCTCACGTCGCGCCGTTGGCGCACCTCTTCTCCCCATCCTGGGAAAGGAGTATCCGACTTGTAGTCGACTATCTTCAAATCCTCGACGATGAAATTTGTCGCCCTTGGATGGTGCGGTGTGCGGCGCCCGGTCGCCCAGGGCTTGGGATGTGCTCCCCGTGAAACCGCGAACGTACTGGCCAAAATTGGACCGCGTGCCGGAGACGAAGAAGGGCGCTGCCCGCGGGCGCTCTCGGGACCAGCGAAGCTGAGAATTTTTCATGTCATAGATATACCGCTTATTGAGCAGAGAATGCGTGAAGAAGGTCCTGTGGACGTAAAGGATCTTAGACACGCGAGCCTCGTACGAGGCGACTGTTAAAAGTGAATTGTAGGTATCTACAATTTTGATGGGGAGAGTGCAACGGGCTTACTCGTTCCATGGTATAAAGGGGTGGGTCACACAAGATGATATGACCACACAATGGCGAGGCTACATCTTAACAAGAAGCCACTACGTGGCGGGACTGCCAGCAGTTCTGCATTTTGACTAGGTTTTACTATTTGTTTAGGAAAACTTAAAAAATTAGATACAGGCGACTCTACCGCAAATAAAACAAAATTAACCCAGTTTGGATTTCGAACGGAAGAATGTATTTGCCTTGGGTTAAGGTGGTTGCTCCTGGAATAAGCGGATTTCGACCCGCTTCTCTCGCTTTGGTTTCAGTATAGAACGTAAGGTCGGTGACGTTGGCTTTGTTTCCTGCAA